AGCAAGTGCCCTCCTTAGTGCCCATCACCCATTATCCACCTCCCCCATCAACCCCTCAGTTTGTTCTCTGTATTTAATAGACTCTAATGAGGGCAGCTGGATGGCTCAGTTGGTTAAGTGACGAACTTTAACTCAGGTCATGATCTCACAATTCAAGCCCAGCATCAGGCTCTGTGCTGACAGCTCAGAGCCTGGAGCCTGCCTCAGTCTCTCTCTCTTTGCCCCTTCCCTGCTCACGCTCTGTTTCTCTCTCAAAAATAAACATTAAAACATTAAAAAAAAATAAAAGAGCCTCTTATGGTTTGCTCTCCTTTCAATTCCAGAGAAAAGGCAATTTGCTTTCCCTAAAATCAGTCTAAATTTCCTGTGTCCATCTTTTTTGTTTCCGTTGCTTCTGCCACTGATATGCTCATTCTACCCTCTTCCTTTCCATATCACGTCTATGACCCACCTCAAATGCCATCTTGCCTCCAGGAAGCCTTCCCGTTTTTCTCAGCTGGGGTGAACTTTACCTTTGTGCCCACATAGCATTTTGTTTTTATCACTTATGGCTATTTTCATATTTTCTCAATTATTTCTGTACATGTCTTAGCTTCTCTACAAGATTTCTCTCATTCACCTATGCCCTCTGGGTTTTAGCCCCCACAGTATCTGCCTTATAGTGGGTACAGACACCTAATTTGAAATAGTTTAAATATTGGTACCCAATGTGAGCACAGTGAGTTTACACATAGCTAGATCTTAATTTCACTGGCTTGTCTCCCATTCCTTCCCCGTCCTCAGCCTCCTGTAGAACCTCAGACCCCTTTCCGGTAGTTGGGAGTCTCCAAGAGGGTGAAGGGCATGTACTCACTTCCTTCTTAGCTGCTGCTCAGGCTCTTTTGCCTGATCTGCCTTCTGATTCTTTCCTTGGGATGCTATTCCGTTAGTCTGCCTAAGGCCACGTGTGCTCGCTGTTTTCATGATGCCTCTAAAATTAGGATGCTTTCAACATCAGATACGAAAAGCTCCTATTTAGTGGTGCCTGGGTGGCCAGTAGGTTAATTGTCTCACTCGTGATTACAGCTCAGGCCATGATCTCCATGGTTTGTGAGTTCGAGCCCTGCATTGGGCTCTGCACTGGCAGCATGGAGCCTGCTTGGGATTCTCTCCCTCTCTCTCTGCCCCTCCACTGCTCACACTTTCTCTCAAAATAAATAAACATTAAAAAAAGAGAGAAAGAGAGAAAAGCTTATGGCTGTTGTGACCTTGAGCAAATTACTTAATCTTCCTAGCCTCCTGCCTTCATCTGATGGGGCTAGAACTTACCTCAAAGGACTTATGTGAAGAATAAATGAGAAGGGGCTCCTGGGTGGTTTAGTCGTTAAGCGTTCAACTTCAGCTCAGGTCATGATCTCACGGTCATGAGTTCGAGCCCTGTGCTGACAGCTCAGAGCCTGGAGTCTGCTGCAGACTCTGTGTCTCCTTTTCTCTCTGTCTCCGCCCCCACCCCCTCACGCTCACTGGCACACTCTCTCTCAAAAATAAATTAACATTAAAAAAAAAAAGAATAGATGATCCAACTAAAACGTTTGGCATCGTGTCTGCCTTGTTATGCTGTGTTAATTACTGTACTCGTAGTGATTCTAGAGCCTACATGTGGCTTTGGTTCAGTGGAACCCGTTTGTCACAGTGTCTAACCGCCATGTCCATCACCTGCCAGGCACTGTGCAATAAGATCTGTGTATAAACATTGATCTCACGTGATCTTTGTTACAATGACACCTTGTGTTAAAGATGAGGAAAATAAGGCTTTCAGGTAATAGCCAGATAACTTAGCCCGTACTAACAGGTAGTGCAGTCAGGATTTAAAGCTGCAGGCTTTAAGTGGAATAACATTCTGGAGAACACATTGTGTGAGAGATCCACTTTTATATATACCCTTTTGTATCTATTTCAATGTTTTGTTTTGTTTCTTTACCATGTTCCTGTATTGTTTTCTATTTTAAGTCCTAGTTAATAATCTTACCAAAAAAAAAAAAAAATCTTACCAATATTCATTGCCCCAATCAAAAAAAGATTAGGTAATAAAAATAGAAACCTTATGTCATTAAACACACACAAAGTCTCTAGTTTTCTTAGTAGGGGGAAAATGCTAACCACCTTCTTGCAGCTTTTCACACTAAGGGTTCAAATTGCTGTTAAACTACTTGCCAAGTTACTTTTTTCCCTCCCCATTATAAACAGCAAGTACACATGGCTCTATGAGCTATCTTTTGCCCACTTACCAATTTTCCTACCTTTTAGTCAATAACTATACCTTACACATAATTGTTTACTTATCAGTCCTATGCACTGAAGCAACTTAAAATCAGTGCCTAATTCTTCCTGTTTCAGCAAGAAAACAGGAAGGGTTATAATGCCCTTTACCAGAATATAAGATTCTTAACCAGCATCCAAGAATATTTTCAAGCAGGAATATAAAGGAAATTCTAATTAATAAGCTCATTCTCTTTTTTATTTAAAAAAATTTTTAATTTTTTTAGTGTTTATTTTTGAGACAGAGACAGAACATAAGCGGGGGAGGGGCAGAGAGATTGAGAGACACAGAATCTACAACAGGTTCCAGGTTCTGAGCTGCTAGCACAGAGCCTGATGCAGGGCTCGAACTCACAACTGCGAGATCACGACCTGAGCTAAAGTTGGACACTTAACCAACTAAGCCACCCAGGAGACCCTAAAAAAATTTTTAATGTTTATTTATTTTTGAGAGAGAGACACACACCATGGGAGTGGGGGAGGGGCACAGAGAGAGGGAGACAGAATCTAAAGCAGGCTCCAGGCTCTGTCAGCACAGAGCCTGACGTGGAGCTTGAACTCACAGACATGAGATCATGACCTGAGCTCAAGTCAAACAAATAAGCTCATTTTCACTTCAAGATCTTATGAGTAAGAAATCATTTTATGTTCAATCACTCTGGTGTTTGTCTCTTTCTGCTGTTTTGTTTTTTTCACTCTTATCTGCAAACTTTTTTCTTAAAGAGGTGGATACCAAATATTTTAGGCTCGTCAGACCAAGGAGCAAAACTCAGGACTCACATGACCATTTAAAATATAATCATGTAGGGGTGCCTGGTGGCTCAGTCGGTTAAGTGTGACTTCAGCTCAGGTCACAATCTCTTCATTCATGAGTTTGAGCCCCACATCAGGCTGTCTGCTGTTAGCACAGACCCCGCTTTGGATCTTCTGCCTCCCTCTCTCTCTGCACCTTCTCTGCTTGTGTTCTCTCTCTCTGTCTCAAAAATAAACATTAAAAATTTTTTAAAAAAATTTAATCACGTAGGGGCACCTGACTGGCTCAATCAGAAGAGCATGCAATTCTTTATCTCAGGTTGTGAGTTCGAGCTCCACATTAGGTGTAGAGAGTACTTAAAATCTTAAATAAAAAAAAAATATATATATAATCATATAAAAATGTAAAAACCATTCTTAGCTTATTTATAAGTGGCTGGCCAGATTTAGCCCGTGAGATTTTCTTTGCTGATACAAGATCTATTCGGTAAATTCCCTCCCTTTCTTACATCACTTGAGAGAATGATGTAATGCCCTTTTCTCAAAAAAGTAAGGAATATTTTTAAAAATTTTTAAATATTTATTTATTATTGACAGAAAGAGACAGAGCATGAACAGCAGAAGGGCAGAGAGAGAAGGAGACACAGAATCCTTAGTAGGCTCCAGGCTCTGAGCTGTCAGCACAGAGCCCAATGCGGGCCTGAACTCACAAACCGCGATATCCTGACCTGAGTCAAAGTCGGACGCTTAACTAACAGAGCCACCCAGGCGCCCCAGGAGTAATATTTTTCTAATGTCAGACTGTCATGACTCATTTGTTACTTGTACTATGACAGAAAATACACTCACACAATTGTTGATACAGAATATTTTATTTGTTTGATATCGTACAAATGTCTCTCTTCATCTTTATATTTGTTTTTGTATTCTTACTGAACCGCAAAATTCCTAAAGGATGAGGCTTGTATCTGTTTAACTTGATTTGTACACTATCAGCACATAAGCATCAAATGGACATCTGGCATATTTCAATAATGATAAAGCACAAGAGAAAATCAAAGTCAATAAGACATATAAGAAAAAAGCACATGGAAACATACAAAAATTCTTATTTTAGAATTATGCTATACATAATTTGTAAAATCTACTTTTTTAAGTTCATACATGAGATTATATTGGTTTTCTTATTTAAAGAAAAAGGGGAACTTCAACAAGTTATAGAAATAAAAATGCAAAATGATGGTAAATATTTTTTTTGGCTCTTGAACTAAAAATATAATGATCAGCGAGAAAAAATGAGAAGTGAAGAGGAATAAAGTAGACCAATACTGATATTCTCTTCATGTTAAAAAAAAAAAAATGCCTTTTAGACATATTGGAAGTGATTGGAAATGAGCAGTGATGACCTTATTGGGGCTAAAAAACCAATGACACAGCTTGTTCAAACAAAAGGAGCAAAGGAACATTACCCAAACCAACCTTAGAGGGTCACTTGTAACACGGAACATAGGAGGAAGAAAGAAAAGAAAGAAAGGATGAGAGAGAGAGAACGAAAGAACGAAAAGAAAGAAGAAAGAAAGAAAGAAAGAAAGAAAGAAAGAAGGAAGGAAGGAAGGAAGGAAGGAAGGAAGGAAGGAAGGAAGGAAGGAAGGAAGGAAGGAAGAAAGAAAGAAAGAAAGAAAGAAAGAAAGAAAGAAAGAAAGAAAGAAAGAAAGAAGAAAGAAAAAGGAAAGGGAAGGGAAGGGAAGGGAAAGGAAGGAAGGAAGGAAGGGAAAGAAAGAAAAAGGAAAGTGCACAAGGCCCCATTCTGTCCACTGCATCTTCCCTGTCTGTTCAGAAAGACAAGAACTGGCTTGGGAAACACCTTACCCAATTAAGCCAGAAACTTCTAAGTCTCCAGGACACTTTCTGAAACGTCAACAAGTTTAGCCCAGTATTTAGGACAGCAATTTCATGGTTTAAAATATATATTTAATGACAAGTAAATAAACCAATGATTAGAAAAACTGAACAGTGTACAATGTGATATTAAAGTGCTGCCTATGGACATTTTGTAAGGTAAAAAGTGTTTGAGGTTTAATCTGTATTTTACAAAAATCGACACCATTAAAACCAACATGATTATTTACTACTCATCCAATCACTGAGGTAACGATATTACAAAAATATGTAAAAAATATTCTAGATTCATAATACCAGATATGCTAATTCCCATGTAGCTAGTATAAATTTGATTATTAAAAAAATAGTTTCGTTTCCTTAAAAACACTTGGTTCATTTACCATTTAATATCAGATAGATATCTGCTATCCTAAAGTACCAAAAAAATTACAAATGAAAATGGCAATGTCTATACTCTGGGTTTCTTGTTTGGTGGATCCTGAAGGCTAAACTTTGGAATTTCCCCCGAAGCCGCATATGGAATTCTCTTTGAAGACACCTTTTTTCCAATTGTTTCAATCTAGGGAGGAAAGAAAAGATTTTAGAAAGAAAACCTGGAGTATTTTTAACTTTTAAAAGCAAAAGAGGGTCTTAAGTCTGGGTTGCTATGGAAGATTTTTGGTTCCTTCTGTATTTTTCATGTTTCTAGAGTCGATCTACACTCCACTCTCCATATTCATGCTCAGATACTTCCTCTTGCCATTCCCAAAGCTGGACCCCCTCCGACTGAGGACAGACTCACATGCCACCGCTGTGTCAGCAGCATGCGCAAAAGCAACTAACAGACCAGATGCCAGTGAAACCACATTCTCCCTCTAACTCTATTCTCATGTCTGCTTCCCTTATACTAAAACATTTACATAAGCTTGGGGCGCCTGAGTGGCTCAGTCGATTGAACAACTGACTTCGGCTCAAGTCATGATCTCACAGTTTTTGAGTTTGAGCCCCAGATCAGACTCTGTGCTGGCAGCTTGGAGCCTGGAGCCTGCTTTGGATTCTGTGTCTCCCTCTCTCTCTGCCCCTCTCCTGCTCATGCTCTGTCTCTCAAAAATAAATAAACATTAAAAAAAAATTTACATCAGCTGTAATAGCATAGATTTCAGGAGTCCAGGCTTCAAAGTCTAAAAGGCCCCAGTTGGATTCCTGATTGCTAACTGTTGTGTTAACTAAGCTCTCTAGGTCTTTCTTCCTCATCTGTAAATGGTGTTACTACCACCTACTTCAACAGATTGTGTTATAGATTAAATTTGATAAAGTGCTCAGCCCAGTGTTCAGCATACAAGTCAGCCTTCAATAAATAAGTGGTAGTCCATTTTTATTTTGCATATTACATTTTAAACATTTCTTCATATATCTAAAATCATTAATCTTACCTTTAAAGACACTGATTCCTTAATAATCATAAATTTAGCTCTTCTCTATAGCAAAAATACACTATATAATTTTCATAAATGTCTTTTGGATTATAAATTAAGAGGCACTTAGGTGGCTCGGTCAGTTAAGCGTCCGACTCTTGATTTCAGCTCAGGTTAAGATCTCATGGTTTGTGAGTTCGAGCCCTAAGTCGGGCTCTGTGCTGACAGTGTGGAGCCTGCTTGGGATTCTCTCTTTCCCTCTCTCTCTCTGCCTCTCCCCTGCTCATGTTCTCTCTGTCTTTCTCAAAAAAAAAAAAAAAAAAAGTTAAAAAAATTAGTATTTAATTCTGACTTAAAGAGCTTCTACTTTGTATTAATCATTTTAGTGACTTATAAATTCCCTTTATTTAGTGATTCCATTCCTATTTTTTTCCTATTTTTTAAAATCCATACTATGAAAAGTTAACTTCTGTAAAAATTCAAACTCATATTACCTTAGATGAGTAATAAAAGAATGGGAGAAAATGTGGTTATGCCTTGGAAGTGATCTTTAAAAAATAACATTGCTTCAGTTTAAGTCATGCCTGGGAAAAGCAGTCATGCTGTTACTCACTAAGGAGGAGTGCAATAGAAGAATCCCCAAGGTCCCTGATGGAATGTTAACAGACAAAGATGTCATCTGATTCTTGCTGTAAGCAAATCTCTCATGAATGAGAAATGAGCACTGAATTCTCTAAGAAGGATCTTCAACAAGTCGGTGACAGGTTAAGAGAACCAGATCTGATATTCTGAACAGTGGGTAAAGCCTTCTGGGTACCTCTCCAAGTAGCTGGTGCTGAGCAGACGCATAAAAGCCAGCTCTAAACACTGCCCCCCACCCACCCACTCTGCCCTGGGACTATGCTGACCGCAATCTGCTGGCGTAATTCTTTAGCCTCCCCAACCTCCCCTCAAGCCTCCCACCCCCATATACACACTGCTCTGAGGAAATGGAAAGTAACTCCTTCTTATTAACACTCTTGGTATTTACCCCTGGTAAAACGGAAATACATGCAGCATAAAGGTACTGTTGAGGTTTCTGTTAGCTCTCAGAACACTCCATTTAATTGGCAACCTTTGAATTAAAAAAGGGCCAGTCCCACTGAAACTCCCATACTTTTAGCTCAGACTTCTCAGGGGCTAGGACAGTGCTGAGCACTCAGAAGGTATAGGATCCTATACAACATGTGGCAACTATACTGCATTTTGGAGTCTTCAAAACATTCATATAGGAATAAGTGGCCTGGGCCCTGAGGGGATCAGTGTGGTACAGATTGTTCAGCAGAGCATCTTGGGCAGCTCTGGGAAGAAAAAAAATTTCTTTTAAGTTTGTATATTTTCTTACTTGATCTTTATATGAAGTAAGGCAAGGTACATTCTATTCCTATATAGTAGGTAACTGTTGACTCCTAGATACTATGTAAGGAAGACCAATACTGAATGATCTTGAGATCACAAATTAAGGAGGGAGTAGAGTAACTACACTAATCACACAGAGATTTTCCAGAGAACTGACATGCTGCCCCCATGTTGTGTTATTGCTAAAGAAGGGAATGTTAAAATTCTGAAACCCAAACCCACTAAAAAGCAAATGACTGAACAAACAAAACAAAACCAGTCCAGGATACTTACCTGGAAGCCAATGGTTTGTAGTTCATTGTGGAGCCCATCCAAGACACGTCGTCCATCAAAGATAAAGGCTGGCTTCAGCATTTTTTTATGAATGCGTTCATAATCCAGTTCCTATAAAGACAGAACCAATGAAACAATTAGAACATATACATGAACACATACTCAATCCCTACTGATACCAGAATACTTCTAAAATTTTCTTTCATAGTACTTGTCACCTCACCTTAAACATGTCCCATTCGGTGCAAATAACCACAGCATGGGCACCATCACATGCTTCATATGGATCCTTGGAAATGGTCACGAGACGGGACACTATAACAACACAACAAAAAATTGGCAAAAAGGAAGGAATTATTTGAAATTACGCATTTTAGTTCTAGGATTACAAGGAGTTGAGGGCCTGACAGAAGTGAAATGGTCTGGTTGAAGTGAGGATGAGAGTAATGGGGTGGGGGTGGGGCCTGGAGCACCTGAACCTTGCCCTAGAAGCATCTCCTTGGAACCTCTGGGGCTTTTTAGAATATGTTGGAAAAACATTAGACCAACTTACAGCTGATCACTTCAGATCAAAGTTGATAGAACAATGTCTAAGAGTTTAATTTTAGAGAAATGAGGCAGAAAAGAAGACCTACCAATGATAAAAATAGAACAACCATGGAAGCAGCACAAATATCCATCAATAGATGAAAAGATAAGGAAGCTGTGCTATATATATATACACACACACACGCATACATACATACACACCCATACATAGAGAGACACACACAAAAATATACATATACATACAATGGAATATTACTCAGCCATCAAAAAGAATGAAATCTTTCTATTTTAAATAACATGGATGGAGCTAGGGAGTATAATGCTAAGTAAAATAAGTCAGTCAGAGAAAGACAAATACCATAAGATTTCATTTATGTGGAATTTAAGAAACCAAACAAATAAAGAAAAAAAAAAAGAGAGAGAGAGAGAGAGACAAACTAAGAAGCAGTCTTAATTATAGAGAATAAACCAGAGGGGCAAGTGGGTAGATGGGTGAAATAGGTGAAGGGGATTCAGAGTGTACTTATCCTGATGAGCACTGAGTAATGTATAGAATTGTTGAATCACTATATTGTATACCTGAAGCTAATATAACATTATATGTTAACCATGCAGGAATTATTTTTTTTATTAAAAAAATTTTTTTTTATGTTTTATTTATTTCTGAGAAAGAGAGAGAGACAGCAAGAACAGGGGAGGGTCAGAGAGAGAGGGAGATACAGCCTGAAACAAGCTCCAGGCTCTGAGAGAGCTGTTAGCACTGAGACCGATGCGGGGCTCGAACCCACAAACCGTGAGATCATGACCTGAGCTAAAGTTGGATGCTTAACCGACTGAGCCACCCAGGCACCCCTGAAATTATTTTTTTAAAGTTTATTTATTTTGAGAGAAAGAGAGAGAGTGGGGGAAGGACAGAGAGAGAGGGAGAGAGAGAATTCCAAGCAGGCTCTGTGCTGTCAGCATGGAGCCCGATGCTGGGCTTGATCCCATGAACTGTTGAGGCCATGACCTGAGTCAAAATGAAAAGTTGGATGCTTAACTGTGCCACCCAGGCACCCCTAAAAAATTTTTTTTAATGCAGCATTTCATTAAGAAACAAAAACAAAAACAGAACAAACAAGTTTTAGGGCCAATACTCAAAGTCATTCATAAGACTCAAAGCCTTACCTTGGTCATCCTCTGAAACTCCAGGGTGAGAAAGATCCACAACTATTTGTTCCCTTGGTACTTTTGGATCATATATATGGAGATGTGCACCTTCATCCATCAAATATTTGCTGATATATATACTAGAGGATTCTCTAAAGGAAAATAAATCCATATTGCTAAGCTTTGAAATGGCATATATTCTAATCCCTAAGGAGTTTATAGAAGGAAGATTCTATTTTTTTTTTTGTTTTTTTTTTTAATTTATTTCTAGGAGAGAGAGAGAGAGAGAGAGACAGCGTGGGCAGGGGAGGGCCAGAGATAGAGGGAGTCACAGACTGAAACAGGCTCCAGGCTCTGAGCTGGCAGTCAGCACAGAGCCCGACGCGGGGCCCGAATCCACGAACCGCGAGATCATGACCCAAGCGAAAGTCGGACGCTCAACCGACTAAGCCACCCAGGCGCCCCAGGAAGATTCTATTTCTTGTTAACATATGGATGTTCACTTTATTTTTATTCCTTATGCTATATATATACATATATTTCACACACACATCCACCATCAAATATCAAAATAAGATAAGCAGCTAATATTTTCAAAAGGGTTGAAGTATTTTTAAGAACTGATACCTCGTATCACCGGTGTCCTTTTTGAATGCAAATCCCAAGATAGCTATCTTCTTATCAGTTACTGTATTAAACAGACTATCGATAATCCGGGAAGCAAACCTCCTTCTCTGGTAGTCATTCATATCTATGACCTGAAATTACATGCACAATTTTATGCAATGTACACATGTACAATTAGTGCAGTTAAGAGAGGTGAGGCCTATGCCATACACTGCTCAGTTTTTTTTATTTATTTTTATTATTTTTTCATTTTATTTTATTTTTTACAAATAGTTTATTGTCAAATTAGTTTCCACATAACACTCAGTGCTCATCCCCACAAGTGTCCTCCTCCATGCCCCTCCCCCCCCCCCCCCCCCCCCCCCCCACCCCCCCGTTTTTGTCAGCATTCAAGAGTCTCTCATGGTTTGCCTCTCTCCCTTTCCCCCACCATTTCCGCCCTTCTTCTCCCCCTTGTTCCTCCGTCAAGTTCCTCCTAATCCTCCTATACGTGTAAACATATGATATTTGTCCTTCTCTGCCTGACTTATTTCGCTCAGCATAACACCCTCAAGGTCCATCCATGTTGCTACCCATGGCCAGATTTCATTGTTTCTCATTGCCATGTAGTATTCCATGGTATAGATAAACCACATCTTCTTGATCCATTCATCAGTAGATGAACACTTAGGCTCTTTCCATGTTTTAGCTATTGTGGAGAGTGCTGCTATGAACATTGGGGTACATGTGCTCCTATGCATCAGCATCTCTGTATCCCTTGGGTAAATTCCTAGCAGATACACTGCTCAGTTTTATAGTACTGTTGTTTGAATACCAGTCTCATAAAGTAACAGGAGGCAAAGATTAAACAACCTCTTTAGCATCTATTAAAAATTTTTTAAAAATTACCATCCCACCAATTAAAGCCATCCTGAAAATTTTCACTTGGCTTTACTTTCCATGCACCAGTCTCGATGGGATGGATGTAAAGATGAGAACAGCTAAGTTTCAACCCCACTTGAGATCCAGCTATAATAGCTGAAAAATTTGGCACAGAGAAGACAGAGTTCTCTTTTGCCAACTTCTGCAAACTCTATGGAAGCAAGGCTGTAAGCAATCAAATCCCAAAGGTCCCATCCCCCTCCCATTTGCTTACCCCTCACCAAATTGAGTGTAAGTAGAAAGTGGACAGAGAACAGTTGAACAATGCACAGAATTATGACTGCCTCTTGATAAACCATTAACACTGCTAACCCTTGTCAAAGTTTTTAACTAAATATTGTAAGAGTAAAAAAAAGTCTCTGATCACTCAACCCTTTACTCTCCTAAGAGTTTATAAACAAGACTTTAGGGGCACCTGGGTGGCTCAGTCAGTGAGTGTCTGACTTTGGCTCATGTCATAATTTCACGGTTCATGGGTCCAAGCCCCATATCAGGCTCTCTGCATCAGCAGAGATCTTTTGTCTCCTCTCTCTGCCCACCTCTGCGCCACCCCCTCTCCACTGTTCACGCTTGCTCTCCCCCTCTCAAAAATAAACATTAGAAAAATAAAAATAAATAAATAAACAAACAAGACTTTCTATTGGTGACCAGATGGATATAAGTAAAGAGACTAGTTTTTATGTGTGTGCTTGGGTGGCTCAGTCGGTTAAGCGTCTGACTTCGGCTCAGGTCATGATCTCACAGTTAGTGGGTTCGGGCTCCGTGTTGGGCTCTGTGCTGACAGCCAGCTCAGAGCCTGGAGCCTGTTTTGGATTCTGTGTCTCCCTCTCTCTCTGGGCCTCCCTTGCTCATGCTCTCTCTCTCTCTCAGAAATAAATAAAACAGGGGCGCCTGGGTGGCTTAGTCTGTTGGACATCCGACTTCGGCTCAGGTCATGATCTCACAGTTTGAGAGTTCGAGCCCCACGTCAGGCTCTGTGTTGACAGGGAGCTCAGAGCCTGGAGCCTGCTTCAGATTCTGTGTCTCCTTCTCTCTCTAACCCTGCCCTGCTCACACTGTCTCTCTTTCTCTCTGTGTCTCAGAAATAAATAAGATATTTTAAAAAAAGAAATAAATAAAACATTAAAAAAAAAAGAAAGAAAAAAATTTTTTAATGTCAATTTATTCCTGAGAGAGAGACAGAATGAGAGTGGGGGAGGGGCAGAGAGAGAGAGGAGAGAGAGAGAGAGAGAGAGAGAGAAAGACAGAGAGACAGAGATACAGAATCCAAAGAAGGCTCCAGGCTCTGAGCTATCAGTACAGAGCCAGACGTGGGGCTCGAACTCATAAACAGTGAGATCATGACCTGAACCAAAGTCAAACGCTTAACTAACTGGGGCACCCGGGTGCCCCATGTGTGTTTTTTTGAGGCACTGAGTTTCTGGGGGCTGTCTCAAAACCTGAGAGCTTGGAAAATGAGCCCAGAGTGTTAGAAAATCAAGCCTTTATCTCCATTTTTTGCCATGACAGACAGGAAGATAAAGTGATCATGCTGGATTGAGTGAAATGAACTTTTACATTGTACATTTTCCTTAAAAATGTACATTTCCTTATATTGCCCCCTACTGCTGAAATCTAAAAAACTATAAAGTTGTAGAAAAAATATTTGGGACAGATATGTCTACTGGCTTGTATCTTGGACAAGTTACTTAACGTCTCTAAGCCTCAGTTTCCTTGCCCAGATTAGTGATGAGGACTAAATGAAATATGCAAAGTACCTAAAAAAGTACCTGGCACAGGAAAAGCACTCAATGTGAACTCTATTGTCAGTCCAGGAAGGGTCTCTAATTTTAGCTCACACACAAACCACCTGAAAGCATTGTAATACAGGTCCTTCTTTTGTTGTGATTTTCTGCCTTTCAGAATAGAAAAGAGTTATAATTAAGAACAGTTCTTGCTTTACTCTGAGAACAAATGTGTTATAAAACTAGAAGACATAGTTTTTCAGAAATTTCCATCAGAGTTCATTAGCAAAAAATACAAAAACACAGAAGCCCAATAAATAAACCTAAAATAAATAAACTGAATATGATGTTTGAGTTCCTGGAATAAGTAAATTCTGTCAAAAACATCTCCTAGACAATAAACTATTTGTAAAAAAAAAAAACAAAAAAAACATCTCCTAGAGGGTGACCTTTTTTTAATTAGAAGTTAAGCAAAAGTTGTTGACTATAAAGATTAATACCTGCTGCCAATACCGAGCGACTTCAGGCAAATTCAGGGCCTCACAGAGATAAACCAAATTCAGAACATCTTTCTGAAAGCAGCTTCCTCCAAAACCTGAAGAAAACAGTGACAGTATTTTTATTTAAGAACCACAACTGAATTCTGTGACAAATCTGTCACACTAAATCAGAAGGCCTATGCTACTTTTTTTTTTTTTTTTTTAAGTAAACTCCACACCACACACGGGGCTCAAACTCACAACCTGATATCAAGAGCTGCATGCTCTACTAACTGTGCTAGCCAGATGACCCTATGCTAGTATTTCTAATAATAAAATTTAGATGTCAGAAAGTTATTGGGCTTAAGCATTGTGTGAAATTTGCAAGCAACTAATTAACTCTATAAATAATTTCTAGGTAATCTTCTAGTTAATGTTTTATTATGGTTACATTTTCTATTTATTCCTCATTCACCTGGTATCGCTACCCCACCTCTCTTACTTTAGCACAGGGCTGGTAAACTTTTATGGGACAAATTGTAAATATTTTAGCCTTTGTGGGCCACATAATCTCGGGCACAGATATTCAACTCTGCCTTTGTAGCTCAAAAGCAGTCATAGACAATATGTAATCAAATGGGCATGGCTGTATTCCAATAAAGCTTTATTTATAAAAGCAAGCTGGGGGCCAGTTTTAGCCTAGACAACAATTTGCCCACCCTGTTCTAATGCAATTCAATATACAGTGAGGACTGGCATATGCTTTGAAGTCTAAAACACCTGGCCACTCACTAGTTGTATGACTTTCAGCAAGTTGTGAAAATTTCCCTGATCCCTAACCATCTCTGTAAAGGAAATAACACCTTCTTAACAGGCTATAAGGATTAATTAATGAGATATATAAAGTACTGGTTCAGAACTTGTTGCATAATAAACCGTTAATAGTAGCTATTTTTTATTAAATGGTAGCTTAAAGAAAATACTAAAAAGATAGAAAAGCTCAGGGAAGCCAGTAATGGGAAATGATATTAGGCCCCAGAAATACAGGAAGGGCTGCCTATGGCCCAATCTATAAAATTCTATTTACCCTTACATCAACCATATTAACTTATATCCAAAAAAACCAAACAATTCTCATTATCCACTAGTTACATTCTACAAAATTGCCACAAATGTGTACTTTAGTATTTAGCAATACTAAAGCATTGCTCCTAGGTGAAATAAAGAGTTAGGTTCCTGTGAGCTTATGGTCACATTTCACCAACAAATTGATACATAATCATTTTATTTTTATTTTTAAAAAATTTTATTTATTTTTTTATACTTTGGACTTTTTTATGTTTGTATTTTTTTAACTTTTAATTTTAATTCCAGTATAGTAAACATATAGTGTTATATTAGTTTCAGGTCTACAATACAGTGATTCAACAATTCTGTACATTACTGTGTTCATCATGATAAGTGTAGTATTAATCTCCTTCACCTATTTCCCCCCACCCACCTCCCTTCTGGCAGCCATCAGTATGTTCTCTATAGCTAAGAGTCCTTTCTTGGTTTGTCTCTTTTCTCTTTTGTTTCTTAAATTCCATTCAGGAGTGAAATCTTATGATATTTATCTTTCCTTAACTGACTTATTTCACTTAGCATAATACCCTCTAGATCTATTCATGTTGTTGCCAATAGCAAGATTTTATTCATTCTTATGGCTGAATAATACTCCACTGTAGATTTTATATATATAACTCACATCTTCCTTATCCATTCACCTATCAATGGGCACTTGGGTTGCCTCCCTACCTTGCCTAGTGTAAATAACGCTGCAATAAACACAGGGGTGCATATATCTTTTCGAATTAGTATTTTTGTATTCTTTGAGTAAATATCCAGTACTGGAATGACTGGATCATATAGTAATTCTATTTTTAATTTTTTGAGGAACCTCCATATTGTTTTCCACACTGGCTGCAAAAGTTTGCATTCCCCCCAACAGTGCATAAGTGTTTCTTTTCCTCTGCATCATTGCCAATATTTGTTGTTTCTTGCATTTTTTATTTTACCTATTCTGACAGGTGTGGGATGATATCTCATTATGGTTTTGATTTGCATTTCTCTGATGATGAGTGATATGGGGCATCTTTTCTTGTGTCTGTTGGCCATCTGTATGTCTTCTTTGGAGAAATGTCTGTTCATGTGTGCTCCTCCTCCCCCCCCCGCCACCCCCTTTAAGTAAGCTCTATGCCCCAAATGAGGCTCAAACTCATTACCTTAAGATCAAGAGTTGCATGCTCTACTGACTGAGCCAGGCCAGTGCCCCTGTTCTTGTTTTTATGAGTTTAAAGACACCTCATTTAATATATATTATTGATTCATTAACATTAAATTGACAGCCAACAGCACCATAACCCAGGCCTGAATAAAGCTTATCTAAGCACATGTATTTTCTCTGTGAGGCACATCAGAATCTCCTGGCACTTGAAAACACTAGACAGCACTTTGCAATATTCCTGAGAGCCATTTAAAAAAGTGAAACCACCAACAAAAAGCACAAAAGTGTAAAAAATGTGACAACTAAACAGACCACAGAAAGAGCACTTGCTTACAGAATGGGGGCTAAAACAAGAAAACAAGAGCATTGTCTTATGCAACTTCAGCTGGAAATGTCTGTGTTGGGAGACTCAAATTTTTTGCTGCTGCATTTTGGGTCTGCAAATGACCATGAAAGCACTATAAGCACTGGTCTTGGGATTACAAATAAAGTTTAGCACGTAGGATAACTCAGAAATACAGAACTGGCAAGTAACGAGGACCAGCTCACTTCACCAAGGCCACATTTCCAAAAGTGTATTAGCAGGCAAGGCAAATGTTAGGAAACTTTTTTCCTATTTTCTTCAATGAGGTATTGAGTTATTTCCTATGTGGTCTCCTAAACTTACTCTTCCTAAATGTTGTAACTAAATACCAATTAATCCTCCTGAAACAGTGAACTATGTTTATCCTACTAATCAATCAGTAATTATTAGACAATATAAGCTTAATTATTGCTTCACTTGGGAAGTTCCTGATAGATTGAAGGTCACATGTATAATAGAATCATTATTTTAAGGGCATCAAGTTAAACAAAGATTTCCTTGGGATACCTCAGTGGCTCAGTTGGTTAAGCATCCAACTTCAGCTAAGGTCATGATCTCATAGTTCATGAGTTAGAGCCCCTCATTGGGCTCTGTGCTGTCAGCACACAGCTTGCTTCAGATCCTCTGTCTCTCTCTCTCTCTCTCTGACCCTCCCCATGCTCTCTTTCTCAAAAATAAATATTTAAAAAAAAAAAAAAAACTTCATTAAAGTTAGAGACCCAGCTAAATGAATCTACTTTATGTACAGAATATTTTCAATTTACCAACACTGGCTTTCAGAAACTTATTTCCAATTCTCTGGTCCATTCCAATGGCTGTTGCCACCTCTTCCACATCAGCCCCTGTTGCTTCACAGAGGGCACTTATAGAATTAATGCTGCTGATCCGCTGGGCAAGAAAAGCATTTGCAGCCTTTAGGGGGAACAAAAAAGGAAAAGTACAATGAGTTAAAATGGTAATTTTAAATGTCTAGATTATATTTCATTGAGTTGATACAAATTACTGAGGGAGATATAAAAGTTACTGATGGGCTCAATTTGAGTAGGCTATGAATTGGGTTGGTAAAGGAAAATGTTTTAAATCCAAGTAGAAAGATGTTTAAGAATGAAAGTAAAAAAGGGAAAGAAAGAGTGATTTTTTAAGACTACTATTTTAATGAACCCTCCATTTTATGTTACATTTTATTAAAAATTTAGAACTTTCCAGAATATTTTATACCCCAATATTTTATTTCCCTTGTGAAAATCATTTCATAATTATTTCATAATGGCTAAGAATATTATCTTCAAAAGCATACCTTTTATTTAATATTAAGAAAGTACCTGTGTGGCTTATCAGGCTTAAGAGAATTAAGTCCTTGGCTTTAACTTAAATGGAGAGTTGAATGCTATATACCAACCAGTTTGGAAAGTTCTGAAGACCAAGTATTAGTGGTGAGGATCTTTTCTCTGGGAACCCAGTGCTCATACACAGCACACAGTGCCTGCACAGCTCTCTGGCCCTCTGGCGTTTCATCCCCTCCAATCAGTACTCTGTCTGGGTTCTTCAGGTCCTTGATGGCTGTTCCTTCCGCCAAGAACTCAGGGTTGGACAGTACCTAGAATCCCAATGCAAAGCAAAGTTTTAAGCCTAGAATTAACTATGGGTAATTATAAGGAGCAATATTTACATAAGAATACGGTTCTAATGCTTCCTTTTTTTATACCTGTAAATTCAAGTTAGGTTTTGTGTTTGCATCAAATATTCGACGAATACTTTCTGCTGCCCGCACTGGAACTGTGCTTTTCTCAGTCACAATTTTGTACCCATGTGAGTTTTGCACAATGCGTCTGGCACAGGCCTCAATATACTTCAGATCTGCCGCGCGGCCTTTCCCCATTCCATAGGTTTTGGTTGGAGTGTTCACCTGATGAAAGCATATGGGATTATAAACAAAGAATCTGTGAGATATTCAGTGATTTCAAGATAAACCCTGAATCAATTCACTAGTTAAGTGCAAAGCTAATCATCATTAGCTTTAATTTAACCTTCTGTTAGTTCTGGAAATAATATTTTATAAATATAATCACCAGACAGAAGAGTCTGAAGCATCTGGGGAACTCATTCAATAAATTTTTGTTGAGAAGCTACTATATAATAACAGATATCAGGGCAGGCAGGTTGTAAGCTAAGCCCTGGAGATATAAAGATGAATGAGACTGCTCTTGTTCTAAAGGAATTCCCAGTCTGAAATGAAACATAAGTTTTCTTTCCTCTCTTTATTATATGTAATAAATTATTATCCTGGTCTTTGTTTTATTTTATTTTTAATTCTTTTTTTTTTAATTTATTTTTGAAAGAGAGAGAGCACACAGCTGGGGAGGGGCAGAGACAGAGGGAGACGGGATCTGAAGCGGGCTCTGCACTGCCAGCATAGAGCCCAATTGTGCGGCCTGAACTCACAAGCCATGAGATGTGACCTGCGCCAAAGTCAGATGCCCAACCAACTGAACCACCTATGTACAACTATTATCTTGGTCTTAATTTTTAATTAAAAATTTTTAAAAATTCTTATTTATTTATCTTTGTAATTTACATCCAAGATAGTTAATATATATATAGTAATGATTTCAGGAATAGAATTTAGTGATTCATCACTTACATATAACACCCAGTGCTCATTCCAACAAATGTCCTCCTCAATTCTCTTTGTTCATTTAGCCCCTCCCCCTATCCAACACCCCTCCAGCAACCCTCTGTTTGTTCTCTGTATTTAAGAGTCTCTTATGTTTTATCCCTCTCCCTGTTTTATACTATTTTTGCTTCGCTTCCCTTAGGTTCATTTGTTTTGTACTTTAAATTCCACATATGAGTGAAGTCATATGACATTTGTCTTTCTACGACTGACTGACTTCATTTAGCATAATACCCTCCAGTTCCATCCACGTAGTTGCAAATGACAAGATTTCATTCTTCTTGTTTGCTGAATAATACTCCATTATATACATATATCACATCTTCCTTATCCATTCATCCATTGATGGACATTTGGACTCTTCCTATATTTTGGCTATGTTGAGAGCGGTGCTATAAACACTGGGGTGCATGTACCCCTTTGAAACAGCAATCCTATATCCTTTGGATAAACATCTAATAGTGCAATTACTGGGCCATAGGGTAGTTCTATTTTTAATTTTTTGAGGAATCTTCATACTGTGTTCCAGAGTGGCTGCCCCAGTTTGCATTCCCACCAGCAGTGCAAAAGGATTCCTCTCTCTTTGTATCCTCACCAACATCTGTTGTTGCCTGAGTTGTTAATTTTAGCCATTTTGACAGGTGTGAGGTGGTATCTTACTGTGGTTTTAATACGCATTTCCCTGATCATGAGTGATTTTGAAAATTTTTTCATGTATCTGTTAGCCATCTGAGTATCTTCTTTGGAAAAGTGTCTATTCATGCTTTTTTGCCCATTTCTTCATTGGATTCTTTGTTTTCTGGGTGTTGAGTTTGATGTGTTCTTTATAGATTTTGGATACTATTATCCTGGTCTTTTCAACCAAATTTTATTTTTAATTAAAAAAAATTTTTAAATATTCATTTTCAGAGAGAGCACAAACAGGGGAGGGGCAGAAGAAGAGAGAGATTCCCAAGCAAGCCCCACATTGCCAGCATAGAGCCTGACTTGCAGCACAAGCCATGAACTGCAAGATCACAATCTGAACCAAATTCAAGAGTTGGTTGCTCAACCAACTAAGCCACCCAGGTGCCCCAAAACCAAATTTTAAATTCCTTTTCTATCCTCCTTGTTCACAGACCTATATCAATAGCTTTTAAAAACTATTTGCAATATCAAGAAAACAAATGTTTTCTTGACTCATCAAAGCTAGGGGCGCCTGGGTGGCTTAGTCAGTTAAGCGTCCGACTTTCGCTTAGGTCATGATCTCGTGGTTCGTGGGTTTGAGCCCCACGTCGGGCTCTGTGCTGACTGCCAGCTCAGAGCCTGGAGCCTGTTTCAGAGTCTGTGACTCCCTGTCTCTCTGACCCTCCCCTGCTCACGCTGTCTCTCTCTCTCTCTCTCTCCTAGAAATAAATAAAACATTAAAAAAAAACAAAAAACATTTGACTCATCAAAGCTAGACATTATATAGTATCTGTAGGATTTGCGATACTACATAAAGACTATCAAACAGAAAGAAAAATTAACCATTTGCCTAGAGTCTAGGTTTACTTTTGGCTTAACTGTACTATGTAACCTGGGAGACATATGGCTACCTTTGCTTCCATTATGGAAAATGAGGATACTATGCTTTCTAAAATATAGCAAGTGGGTTTGTATAATGCTTTGGGGTAAAAGTCAAAGCACTCTGGAAAGCCTAAAATTCTATACCGGAATAGTTTTTGAACCAGTAGTAACTAGTACCAATTCTCTTCTCTTGACGAGCTTATAACCGAATGGGAGACTAAATAAAGGAAGCAAGCCAAAACAAATCAAAACTTGAAAGCTGTGCTGAGGTGTGAAAAGCAGAACAAAAGTTGTTTAGATGCATGGACCGAATTAGGAAAAGCCCGAGACACAGAAGTCAGGGTGCACCAGAGTATGGGAGGGCCAAGACAGCTAACAGGATAAGATGGAACATGCTAAAGATGAGAGAGGATCAGAGAGAGGATCAGAGACCTTTCCCTGGAAGATGACAACTGCAAACTGATTCATATAAAAACTATCCCTATCTGGAATCTGTCTAAAAATAGCCTGGGGTAGGAGGAAAAGGAGAGAAGTAGTAAACAAAACAAGATCAGCCATGGTAACTGCTGATAATGGACAATGGGTAAATAGGGGTTCATTATATTATTGTCTTCATCTTTTATATAAATTTATTTTCCATAATGAAAAGCATACAACAAATAAATATTTAAAAGCCGATCCAGAGAATAATGGGAACGCAATGAGAGTTATACAGTAATAAATTACCATAATGGGCATATATAGTAATAGCTTGGAAAGATTCAGGTCAGCTCAGGTTAAATCTGCAGAGAGGCAAGTGTAAATTAGCTATCTGGCCAGACCACCCCCTAAGGTGGATTCTATTGCCTGAGAATATTCTTTTTGAAGATTTTTTTTTACAGAAAATTCCCCTATTTTCATTTGAGGCTCTAGTTATCCTACAGTTGGACTAAGATAATTTTTTTTTATTTTTAATGTTTATTTATTTTTGAGAGAAAGAGAGAGAGAGGGAGAGTGAGCAAGTGGAGGAGAGGAAGAGAGACAGGGAGACAAAATCTGAAGTAGGCTCCAGGCTCTGAAATGTCACCACAGAGTCCAACATGGGGCTCAAACTCACAAACCATAAGATCATGACCTGAGCCAAAGTCCGATGTTTGACTGAGCCACCCAGGTGCCCCAAAGATAATTTCTTCATTTTCTCCAAGTACCTAGCTACTCCAAAATCTTTTCTCATTTTCTATGCCTCTACCCTAACTTTCTATAAGCTTAAGTAATGGATGAGTAGGCAAGTCACAGAAGGTACACCAATTTCTCTAAAGTAATTAATGCCAAAAGAGAGATTTAATTCATAACAGTTTTACCAGTGGCTTCATTACTACTTTCTTCTGGAGTTAATATATCTTCATGGTATTTCTTTTGTCTCATCAGCCAGAAAACAACTAATTCAACAACTTAACAATATGCATTATCAATTCAACAACATCTACCTTCTATAGACCCCATGATATTTCTTTCCTTGAGTACATGGAGCTCAGTCAAAGCTTACAACACTGGCTTTCCCTTTGTTATTTAAGGCCCTAAAGGTCTCAAGTCATATAACACCCTAGCTCACCCACAAATTGGTGATTTCTATACCATCACACATAGAATATTTGAGTAAATGGCTACCAGGACAGCAAGAAGTAAAGTACTTGGTTCAAATATTAGATTACCAGAGTTTACTCCTAAGCATTGGTCCTATTTTTTCATTACAAAGGTACAACAGGCTAGTCGTATCATGAACTAAGGTGCCTGTGGACTAGCCTGTAACCTAACCAATCCAAGCCAAGTTCCTAAAAGTTAATTAAAAATGACTTCTGGTGGGATGCATGACTGGCTCAATTGGTACAGCATGTGACTCCTGATCTCAGGGTTGTTAAGTTCAAGCCCCACGTTGGATGTAGGGATTACTTAAACATAAAATCTTAGGGGCATCTGGGTGGCTCAGCCGGTTAAGCATCTGACTCTTGATTTCGGCTCAGGTCAATATCTTACTATTCATAAATCAAGCCCCAAGTTGGACTCGGCACTGATAGCACAGAGCCTGACTAGGATTCTTTCTCCTTCTCTCTCTGCCCCTCCCCAGCACACGGTTGTCCACTCCTTCTCTTTCCCACTCTCAAAATAAATAAACCTAAATGCACACACTCTATCTCTCTTTACAATAAAAATAATAATAATAAAAATGACTTCTGGAACATAATTCAGCTAAAAAGGAGAGTCCCATAAGTTTGCATGCACACTTCACCTGATTCTCTTCACCTCACCTCTACCAAGCAGTGGTTGAAACAAGACATGATGACATACGTACACTATTACCACATGGGCTCACACATTACCAACACTTCCTAACTCTAGATCCCAGACTAGAACCTTCTCCAATTATTTGTTCAGTGATTGGGAATTACGTATTTGACCAGATGATTATGGCGTATAGTGAAGGTTTGGACAAAATGACAACCTAAATTCAACTGGACAACTCTACACTAAGCAATGATAGGGATTAATACCAATGGTTTACTTAAAACACAATAAAACTTGTATATAGACAATAATGCATTAAAACTCACATAGCAAGGGGCACCTAGGGTGGCTCAGTCAGTTAAGTGTCCCACTTTGGCTTAGGTCATGATCTCATGGCTTGTGGGTTTGACCTCTGCCTTGGACTCTGTGCTGACAGCTCAGAGCTTGGAGCCTGCTTCAGATTCTGTGTGTCTCTCTGCTCTTCCCCAGCTCACTCTCTCTCTCTCTCTCTCTCAAAAATAAGTAAACATTAAAAAGAAATTAAAAAAAAACACCTCACAAAGCAAAAGAAAATACTTACAGAAATAAATACAAGATCAGCTTCTTTAATGGCATCATCAATATTGGTAGAAAAAAAAAGATTTTTTCCTCGGCAGGATTCTACCACTTCTTTTAGTCCTGGCTAAAAAGAAAAAAGAAGGAGTTGTACATACAGTTTACCAGTCATATGAAATAACCTAATTATATAGAGTTACATTTTCTAAAAGAGAAAGTTATAATTTATAGGTCTAGACTTGCACTCAAAAAACCTTTGTAGAAAAATCAAAGATCATACACTGACAGCCGTAAGTGTACATTATGCAACATTACTAAATAGAGCAAAATTGACCTTGCCAAAATTAAAGCACCAGATCATTGTTTACCATATGCCTGATTGTTTCATAAAAGTTAACAATTAACTATGTATCAATACATTTATCAAAAAATCCAAGGTCTTTTGTGATTTCAAGCAAACATTTGCTTTTGCATCATTGTTATGAATGCAGATTTTTACCTCCAAGAATTCAGACTATACAACTGGTTGTGAAACAGTCAACATTTACTCTATGCATACATAAGTATATTTTTTTACTAAGTCCTAATGTAAGAAACATTTTCATTGAAAATTTTATTACTTTTCTCATGTAGTTTAACAGAGGGTCTGTTAAGAATACTGAGCTGCACAAAATCACCTAATAAGTATTCTTACCAAAAAAAAAAAAAATCAAAAGAAAACATAAAAAAATCTGATCTAAATCTGATTAGATCAGCCCAATCAGCAAATTCAGACTGAGAATTTCTATAGGATAAACAACCTGGTTTCTTTAACAAGCAAACTGAAGGAAAAAACAGAGAGAGAAAGAGAGATTAAAATATTGTAGTCTTAAAAGACACTTAAGTGATACACAAATCTATGGCAGTGGATGGATCTTACATGGATTCTTATTCAAATAAACTATGGGAAGAAGGACATGTGTAAGCATCTTGAGATTGGGGAGCCTGGCCTGCTCAGTCACAGGGGTGTGTGACTCTTGATCTTGGGGTTGTGAGTTCGAGCCCCATGTTGGGTGGAGAGATTACTTAAATAAATAAAACTTTTAAAAAATTATTGATATTAAGAAATTATTATTAGAGTTTGTAGTAGTAACAATGATGACATGCTTACATTTAGAAACAATTATCTTTTAGAGATATATAATGAAATGATTATGGATGATATTATAAATAATTAGGATGGTGGCAGTTGGGAGAAGTGTTGGCCATGTGGATAAATTGTGGAAACAGAGTGATAAAGCACATGGGGATTCATTATTCTCTCTCCTTCTGTCACATGTTTGAAATTTTCCATAATAAAAAGCACACTAAACAGAACACTCCCAAACCACAGAAGCTTAACTCTTCTTGGGGGAGAATATCCAAACAATATCCACAATATTATGTAAGTGCAGAAAACTATCTATATGGCAAAGAAAAAAAGTCCACTTCAAGGACCATAGGACTAGAGTTATATCTAGAGGCATTAACTTTTCTTCATGGTTCTGAGGCTTTCTAGCATAAGCAATTAAAGGAAGTATAAAATGCAAATTCAGATTTCTACTAGTTTAACTAAAATGTATAACAGGACCAGCAAAATAAATAAACCATGACAGCCATGAATATGGTGTCACCAATCATATTAACCATTCTCTTGGTTATTTTGACTACGTTCTAGGAAATGACAGAAAAAGATTATAGAGTTGGGATTTTTCAGAGAAGAGTGAATTTAGTCCTATATATAATATAATATTATTCTGTTAAAAATCAATGGGATCATTGGAGATCTCCAAAACTGATGTAGAAGTAGTTAATAATATAGGTTCTATCTCTTATTAAATTCATTATGCAATTATCATAATTAGTATTGAGAATTGATAGGGTACTTTTTATGGAAGAACTCAAATATTTTCACAGAGTAAAATTATCTTTCATTTTATTTAGAAAAAATAAAGCAAATTATCCATTTTGCTTTTTAAAAAGTAGTTATTAAATTGTTAAAAAGTTGTCAAAAAAGCAGTGACTATTCACAAAATATGGTAATACAAAGTAAAATGTTTTTTTAATTTATAATGTTTGTTTATTTTGAGAGAGAGAGAGAGAGAGCGTACACCTGTGCGCAAGCAGGGGTGGGGCAGAGAAGGAGAGAGAGAATTCCAAGCAGGCTCAATGCTGTCAGTGCAGAGCCTGACACAGGGCTTGATCCAATGAACTGTGAGATCATGATCTGAGCTGAAATCAAGAGTCGGTTGCTTAACCGACTGAGCCACCCCAGGTGCCCCACAAAATAAAATGTTTTAATGGTTAAATGTTTACACTATCTACTATGCTGTTTTCTGAGTAAACACTTAAGTATCTTATTACCATATTTTATTTGATAGTCATTACTATTTCCTTCTCCAGCAGTAAAAATGTCTGTTTTTTATTCATAGAGTTTTGGCCCATAAATGTAGGCCTATTGGATTAGAAAGAACCACAATAAGCATAAACCCATGGACCCTAAGTATATTTAGCTGGGTTTTCGATGTGACTTGATAGTGTTTTCAACTTTGTCCTATCTGTTCTGAGATTAGTGCTCTGAACCTCCACTATTTCTAAGTCCTTCACCCAACATTACCCCTTCTTTCTTATTCAGATTATTTTGCCTCCTGCTATCAGACAACTGAGATTGCCAATGTATCAGTCACCTTTATTTCACGTCCCTCCAACAAAACTGTCTATACCTTTATCCATCCTCGTTGGCTTCCCTCCAGTCTCCAAGGAAGAGGCTTTCACTAAGCCTCCACTTAGGCTTTTGGTTCGTCCTTTTGCTATCTTTCTAGACTTTCTTCCATCAATTAGCCCCTTTTTTCTTATGCTTTGGCCTTTCCTTCTCTAGGTAATTGGTCTACCTTAGTTTTTATTTATTTATTTATTTATTTTTTTTACAAATAGTTTATTGTCAAATTAGTTTCTACATAACACTCAGTGCTCATCCCCAAAGTGCCCTCCTTCATGCCCATCCTCCCCTTCCCCCCACATCCATCAGTCCTCAGTTTTTGTCAGCATTCAAGAGTCTCTCATGGTTTGCCTCTCTCCCTTTCCCCCACCATTTCCGCCCTTCTTCTCCCCCTTGTTCCTCCGTCAAGTTCCTCCTAATCCTCCTATACGTGCAAACATATGGTATTTGTCCTTCTCTGCCTGACTTATTATGCTCAGCATAACACCCTCAAGGTCCATCCATGTTGCTACACATGGCCAGATTTCATTGTTTCTCATTGCCATGTAGTATTCCATGGTATAGATAAACCACATCTTCTTGATCCATTCGTCCGTTGATGGACACTTAGGCACTTTCCATGTTTTAGCTGGTCTACCTTAGTTTTTAACATGTTCGATCCTTTATCAACCACAGAAAAAAATGTAAATAAATAAAATCACTGCCTTTACCCTGTATTCCTCTCCAGTGCCACACCTTTTTCTACACTGTCACTTTTCACTGTCTCACTTCCTTGATCTCTGATCATTTATAATTGTTCTTGCAAAACTTACAATGATCCTCATAGTACCAAATTTAATGAGTATGTCTCAGTCCTGATTTCTTCTGTATCTGGCAAACTGACAGCTCACTTATTGATTCAGCAAATATTTACTGAGTACTTATTATGTGCTGGTCACTGTGTCATTCATAAGCAAGACATACAGTTGACCTTTGAACAACACAGATTTGAACTGCATCAGTGTGCTTATATGTAAATTTTTTTTCAATAAGTATAGTACCATATTGTCAATGTATTTTCTCTTACGATTTTCTTTTTTAAATGTTTATTTATTTATTGTGAGAGACAGATGGAGAGCAAGCAGGGGAGGCACAGAGAAAGAAGACAGAGAATCCCAAGCAGGCTCCACAGCTGTCAGAGCTGAGCCCAACATAGGGACTGAACACATGAACCATGAGATCGTGACATGAGATCAGGTCATGCTAAGCCAAAGCCAAGAGTCAGACACTTAACTGAATAAGCCACCCAGGTGCCTCTCTTATGATTTTCTTAATAACACTTCCTTTTCTCTAGCTTACTTTAAGAATGCAGTGTATAAGACAGGGTCAACGCCTCTCACCCCCACATTGTTCAAGGGTCAACTGTACATCTTTATGGGAGCTTGCACTACTAAAACTCTTCTGATTTTGGTTCACCTTTGAGGAACTACTCTTCATTGCTTCTCTATGGCATTTTCTTCTCCACCTACCATCAAACATTAGCATTTTCCTGGCTTTTGTCCTGGACTCATGCTCTCTACAGACTCTTCTCGGGAGAGCTCAATTACTCTGATTTCAACTACTACCTGTATATTCCTAACGTTACATTTCCATCCCTGAATCATTTGCCTAAACTTTTGATATATTTCCAACTGCCTACCTCCTGAACATGTCCATTTGGATTTCCCAAAGCCTCTAAACTAAGTAGGACAAAATAGAACTAGCCATTTCATCTCCCACTCTCCTCCACAACGTCCGGCATTCTTGATCTCAACTAATAACACAGTCATGCATCTGCCTTCCAAACTGGGAACCTGGATATTATTCTTGATTTCTTCCTCTCCTTGACCTTTCTTTATATAAAGTATTTTTTTAAGGCTTATTTATATATTTGGGGAGGGAGCAGAGACAGAGAGAAGGAGAGAGAATCCATGCCAACCCCGTAAAGCATGAGTTCATGACTTGAGCCAAAATCAAGAGTCAAATGCTTAACTGACTGAGCCACTCAGGCACTCCCTTCATCCTTCTTTTATGATCAACAATAGAGTCCTATCATTTTTCCTTCTAAATATTTCTCTAATTAGTCTCAGAGTAGATGGAGTGAGGGTAGAACAACTCTCAAGAAGACTGTGTACTCAAAAGGGCATATTAAATGCTATAATTATATATTATAGTATTTCTCTATTAGTGACCATGACATTAGTCACAATTAGGGTCTTCCTGACATGAAAACATGGTATTTACAATGAAAAATCAATGCCACAGATTTTTAGAATTATCCTTGAAAACAAGTATTTATCTGGTTATATAAATGCATTATAGGATACAGATTTATAACAGCAAGTTGATTACAAAAGTGTCCAAGGCTTCTCTGGACATAAAATATTCTTTTGTCTTGTCCAAGGTAGGTAAGTATAAAGTGACAACTAGTAACAACATGTATAAGCTACTCAGTAAAGCAATTAGCACTGTGAATTCCAGCTAAACCTGCCATTTGTTTTTTCTCCTTTTATAATTTTTCCTGTCTGACACTTCACCTAACATTTTACAACTCCAATATGGCCAAGAAAATGTACAGGAAAAGTTAATTTTACAACATAAAATAAAGAAATAAAAATAGAACAAAGGCCTAACATATCTTTGAAAATGTAAAGCTGGGTCATATAGTTCATTCCCCGAGTTGTTGCTTTTTTTTTAAAACACAACTTATAGAAATCATCTTTATTGGGGCGTCTGGGTGGCTTAGTTGGTTAAGCGTCCGACTTTCGCTTAGGTCATGATCTCGCGGTTCGTGGGTTCGAGCCCCGCATCAGGCTCTGTGCTGACTGCCAGCCCAGGGCCTGGAGCCTGTTTCGGAGTCTGTGACTCCCTCTCTCTCTGACCCTCCCCTGCTCACGCTGTCTCTCTCTCTCTCCTAGAAATAAATAAAACATTAAAAAAAAATAAAAAAAATTTTTTAAAAAGAAATCATCTTTATTTTCTGATTTATAAATTCTTTAAGTGAGCATCTTTTAACTGATGTCTATGAAAGCCTGAAGTCATTCACTTGCTAAGAGGAAAATCATTCTACTTGCTAAGACAATTCCTTTTAGAATTTTAAAGTAGCAGTGCCATGTTTTTAAGCACCAAAACCAGTGGGTTTTGGAAAAAAGATTTCATTTATTTTGTAGGCTACACTAAATATTGCAGAACTAAAATAGCTGCTTATGGTATCATCTAATTTTCTGGAATAGACATATTAAAATGACATAAAAGAGGCACCTGGATGGCTAGTCAGTTAAGTGTCTGACTCTTGGTTTTGGCTCAGGTCATGATCTTACAGTTCATGAGATGGAGCCTGGTATGGGGCTCTGCACTGACAGCACAGAGCCTGCTTAGAAGTCTCTCTCTCTCTCTGAGGCAAACCACGAGAGACTCTTGAATGCTGAGAACAAACTGAGGACTGATGGGTGTCGGGGGGAGGCGGGTGACGGGCATGGAGGAGGGCACTTGTGGGGATGAGCACTGAGTGTTATATGGAAACTAACTTGACAATAAACTATTTGTATAAAAAAAAAAAAAGAAGTCTCTCCCTCTCTTTCTGTCCCTCCCCCAATCACATGGGTACTCTTTCTCTCAAAATAAATAAATGGGCTTTTTTTTTTTAAAAAGACATTAAAAATAAGACATTAAAGCCCAAGTAGTTATAATCATTAAACAAAGCCAATACAATTATGAGATTTCAAGGTTTTGCGAACTCAGACATTGCTTCTAATGAGCACAGCGCTAGCTAGACTTTCAGATCCTTTATATTATTTTTAAAGAGATTTAAAGAAGAAAAAAAATGATTTATAAAAAAGGCAAAAAAATAATAAATGCTTGTTTCTTTGTTTATAAAAGACAGGTTATTGGGAAAAAACAAGTACAATATGGAAAAGAAATAATTTTAGATCTTAACTCTCTCAATCTAACTATATATCCCAACTGGATTCAGTGTCAATGTAGAACATACTTTTTTTTTTTTTTTTTAAAGTAGGCTTATGCCAACATAAGCCATCCTTAAGATGAGGAGTCACATGCTCTACCAACTGAGCCAGTCAAGTGCGCCTATATTAAACTTCAAGCACTGAAGTCTCAGGAAGAAGAGTTTCAGATTTCAATTAATGTAAATAATAATATCAACAATAAGAATCTGGCCAGGCAATATGCTTGGCCAACTGATTTTTTGTTTTCCCCAAGAAAAATGTCAAATTCCAATTCGTAATAAATAGTTTATACTTTTTCTAATTCAGGATACCTTTTTTTGTGTTTAAGTAAAACAAATTGTTTTAGGTTTATTTTTGAGGGAGATAGAGCCCACAAGCAAGTGGGGGAGGGGCAGAGAGAGGGAAACACAGAATCTGAACAGATTCCAGGCTTTGAGCTGTCAGCATAGACCCCAACATGTGGCTCAAACTCAAGAACTGTGAAATCATGACCTGAGCTGAAGTCAGACACTTAACTGACTGAGCCACCCAAGTGCCCCTTAAGTAAAATTTTTACTGAAGTAAAACAAAATACATAAAAATGCATATATATTAGTAAAGTGTATAGCTCAATCTTCACAAGTGAACACACCTGTGTAACCATTACCTATATTAAGAATTAAAATACTGGGATGCCTGGGTGGCTAAGTCGGCTGGGCGGCCAACTTCAGCTCAGGTCATGATCTTGCGGTCTGTGGGTTCAAGACCCGCATTGGGCTCTGTGCTGACAGCTCAGAGCCTGGAGCCTGCTTCAGATTCTGTGATTACCTCTCTCTCTGCCTCTCCCCTACTCAAGCTCTGTCCCTCTCTGTCTCAAAAATAAAATAAACGCTAAAAAAAATAAAAAAAAAAAGAATTAGAATATCAACTGTAAATCAGAACCTGCTGGGTGCCCCATGCCCTTCTAGTCACTACCACTGCTCAAAGTACAATCATGCAGAATTCTATAATCAGAGATTAATTTGCTTATATTTGAATTTTATAACCAATGGAATTATATAGTAAGTACTACTTTGTGTCTGGCAACACATTACTTTGGGAGAATTTACCATGTTCTTTATTTTTTTATTATTTTTTAAAGTTTATTTATTTTGAGAAAGTGTGTGTGTGCAAGCAGAACAGGGGCAGAGAAAAAGGGGGTAGAGAGAGAATCCCAAGCAGGCTCTGCACTGTCAGCACAGAGCCCAATGTGGGGCCCTATCTCAGGAACCGTGAGACCATGACCCAAGCTGAAACCAAGGGTCGGACGCTGAACTCACTGAGCCACCCAGGTACCCCAAACCATATTCCTACATGTAGGAGTAGTTTCGCTGACTTTCAGTCCAGAATAGTATTTATTATAGGATTATGCTATAATTTACGTATCCATTCCAATGCTGATTAACACTTAGGCTGTTTCCCATTTGGGGCTATTATAAATAGCACTGTTAATATCTGTGTTTTGGCCAAACATATGTATGTATTTCTAGTGGATATACACCAAAAACAAGTGGATTTGCTGGGTCATCAGACTATGCATATTTTCAGCTTTAGTAAATTCTGCCAAGCAGTTTTGAAAGCTGCTATACCAGTCTACATTCTGACCAGCAATGTATAAAAGTCCAATTGCTCTAAATCCTTGTTGACCCTTAGTATTGTCAGCAGTAATAATTTTGGCCATTCTGATGGGTGCCCTTTGTTTCTGAAGACTAACGTACACTGCTGGCAGAACTGATTACTAATGATTGGATGTAAATATGGGTTTCAGATGACTTGTGGCCCTTTATGGTTATCAGAATTATAAAACTCTTTTATTAAGTTATCTTTCCAAAATGTTTTTAAAATTCCCCAACACCAAATATAGTAGTAATGTTATAACAGGGAAAGAAATGCTACAGCACTAAAGTATTTATAGAACTGTTATGGGTAGTTCATTTGGCAGAAAAACAAAGGGTATAGCACAAACAGAAGGTACAATTCAGAGGTTTGGTTTTTGTCCTAATTTCATTCAGATACGATTAAATCCATGATGTTGGGTAGCTACTACTGTGTGGGTGCTTTTTCATGGATTTCTAGATTTCATATGCCTATAAAGAGACTTCCCTTCCAAAGGACTAGTACATTTAAAGACTATGGTTGATAACAGTCTTACAAATAAAGTTTTCCTGAAGGAAAAAAGGAGAATATATTAATGTTGGGAAGAAAATGCTATCATCAAATTCTCAAATGCTTCTCTCCTAGGTTTCAAAAGCATAATATTCATGAACTCATTTTATAGTCAAATTTTTAAAAATGAGATTCACATAACTTAATAAAATAGAAGCATATTTTCTTAACTATATATTATCTAAATTCACAGAAATTTTGAAATTCCAATTTAAAAAATTTATGATACTAGGTACTAGATATAAAAGATATCATTTATCTAACCACAGTTTACTTGATATATGTACAATAACACCCAAATATAATAGACTTATATGAATATTATAAACACCCACAATTTTATCATTTAATTTTACAGAATACCTTTTTAAAATTTTACTATTTACAATATGGCAACCATATTAACAGACAAAATTAGAAGAAGAAGAAGAGAAGTAAATTACCCATATTCTCCCTGTACTCATACAACCATTATTAATATTCTAATATATTTCCTCCCAGTCATTTTCCCTGGGCATACTTGATGTAACTATAATTGTAACGTCCATAACACTGTGGACCTAGATTTCTCATTTAGTTTCTTCTCAGTTGCAGTCATAGATTTCTACATTAATAGTAATTTATTTAACAAAAACAGTAAGAAAACAAAGAGCATAAGAACAAAGAGTTGTTTAATATGGTTTTACCTCATAAATAGGGAGCGTAGGAGAGTTCCACGCATTGATTCTTGATTCATTGACGTCAACGACTGTTACCCTGATTTCAGGGCACATATGAGCAATGACACTACATGTAGGTCCTCCAACATAGCCCGCACCAATGCAACAAATCTTCTTAATTTCAAACATGATTGAACTAGAAGGAAAGTGGTAAGACTAGTCTACTATTGAAAACAAAATTTAAGGAAATCACACTGCACATTTATCACACTTAATAAAAACTGTCAAGGTGACAGATACCTGGAAATAGTTCTTGCATTCACACTCATTAAGCATTATTAAAACAGTGATAATACATAACATTCTAGTTGGATGATCTAGTTCATTCTCAGCTATACTAGCATAACACATGGAAAAAATATAACTGATATTACTGAAACGCCACAAAGGTTATAATGATCTAATATTTAGAAATTCAAGAAGCAAAATAAAACCTTACTTAGGCCTCTACTACACCAGGGTAACTTTGATCACTGAGGGAAAATTCAAGGGTAAACACATCAATGCAATTCTTGCTTAAATAAATGCTGGTTTACAAAGGTCAGCCTTATGGCAGGTTTAGACTAAAATGACAGATATTAAGAAACATGACATATGATAATATTAGTTGAAAGTCCAGAATTGGCTTCTGTGATCATATTCCCTATACAATTTGGCTTCAGCAGTTTATTTTTAAGTACTTGACAATGATCTTAAACTACATTTCAACTTTAATCAGAAACTATGAAATGGTTAAAGGAAAGTAATTTCTGTAGTTACCAAAGCTGTTACACAGATTTTGATGGGTTTTCAAAAGTCATTTAGGTGAATGGATTCGCACTAATCAAAATGACAAGTTACTGGTTTGTATACAAGAATGTCAGTTAATTCATTATAATGAGAACAAGAACTGTCAAACTGATCAGATTCTTAGAATTTTAGTCTTTGCCAAGACCTCTGGCATTATCTAACCTAACCCATTCACCAATTTCAAGGAGAAGGAAAATGGTAAAAAGAGAGTTTAAGAATTTGTTAGCAGACTCCTGTATGGATCAGAGAAGGCACTATGGAAGGCTGATCTCATTACAATGATGGGCAAGTACAACCCTATCGTAAAAAAAGAAACACAAACCACATAATTAAGATGATCCAAATCCCTTAAGTCTGAATCTATAATCAAACAATTTTTTTTTTTAAATCAAACAATGTTCTGATTGCTAGTTTTCTGGGTAGACTTCCTTTTTGGAAGAGAATGAGCTGAACAACCCATACAAGTTCCTGATCTATATTAAGAAACAACTAATCTGGCTTATAAATCAATCTTCAGGGGTCATGTTGAGCAGATATCAACTCAGAGTCTAATCTTTAATGACCTTTAAAAAACTTTATTTTTTTAAATGTTTATTTATTTTGAGAGAGAGAGAGTGCACGAAAGCACAAGCAGGGGAGGGGAGACAATCCCAATCAGGCTCCATGCCCGGCACAGAGCTGGACGTGGGGCCCAGTCCATGAGATCATGACCTGAGCTGAAATCAAGAGTAGGACACTTGAGCAAGTAGGACACAACCACTGAGTCACCTAAGTGCCCCTAAAAAAAACCTTAAAAAGTAGAAATTTGGTAAAACAGTAAATGTGAGCAAAATCTGGAATCTATTGATTCTACAAAAGAAAGCAGTATTCTTAGTGATATACATACAAAGAACATTTTTAAATTTATTTTTTGCTTTGAATAGGTAATAAATACGTATGGTTCAAATTAAATCGGTATAACAAGGTATACAATAAGAAGCCTCATGTCTACCCCATCCCTATTACTTTGCTACCAACTGCTTTGCTTCCACCAGCAACCCTTTTATTAGTTATTTGTGTCTCCTTCCAGTGTTTCGTATACAGTGCAAGTAAATACAAATATATGTTCTAATAATCCCTTCTTGGGGGTGCCTGGGTGGCTCAGTCCGTTGAGCGTCCAACTTCAGCTCAAGTCATGATCTCACAGTTGGTGAGTTAGAGCCCCGTGTCACACGCTGTGCTGACAGCTCAGAGCCTGGAGCATGCTTCAGATTCTGTGTCTCCCTCCCTCTCTCTCTCAAAAATAAATAAAACATTAAAAAAAATTTTTTTTAATAATCCCTTCTTTCTGAATTTAAGAGGTAGAATACTATATATATACTATCAACACCTGGCTTTTTGAACATAATGTATTCTGAAGACCTATTTCTTCTTTCTTTCTTTAAAAACAGTTAAAACTGAGTAAAAACTCAGCTCTTGGGGAACCTGGGTAGCTCAGTCAATTAAGCATCCAACTTCACCTCAGTTCAGGATCTTGAGGTTTGTGAGTTCAAGCCCCACCTCGGGCTCTCTGCTGTCTGTGCAAAGCCTGCTTCAGATCTGTCCCCATCTCTCTCTGTCCCTCTCCCTCCCACACTCTTGTTTCTCTCTCTCTCTCTATCAAAAATAAATATTTTTTAAAAAGTAACATTGTATTCCATTGTGTGGATGTATTTACTAGGTATTATTAAAACCATGCTAAGTCTGGTAGATTCTATTTATTTATCTATCTATTTATTATTTATTTTTATGTTTGTTTATTTTTGAGAGAGACAGAGCATGAGTGGGGGAGGGCCCAAGAGAGGGAGAGACACAGAATCTGAAGCAAGCTCCAGGCTCTGAGCTATCAGCACAGAGCCTGATGCAGGGCTCAAACCCACAAACCGTGAGATCATGACATGAGCCAAAGTCAGACACCCAACCAATTGAGCCACCCAGGCACCCTGTATTTATTTATTACTTTTTAAGTAGGATCCGTGCCAAATGTGGGGCTTGAACTCATGACCCTGAGATCAAGAGTCACATATCTATTGGGGCGCCTGGGTGGCTCAGTCAGTTAAGCGTCCGACTGCAGCTCAGGTCATGATCTCACGGTTTGTGGGTTCGAGCCCCGCATCGGGTTCTGTGCAGGCAGATCAGAGCCTGCAGCCTGTTTCAGATTCTGTGTCTCCCTCGCTCTCTGCCCCTCCCTCACTCATGCTCTGTCTTTCTCTGTTTCAAAAATAAATAAAAACCATTAAAAAAAAAAAAAGAGTCACATATCTACCAACTGAGTCAGCCAGGTGCCCCTGGCAGATTCTCTCTTTTATAACCTAAATAAATGAGGGTGGGTGGTGTCTGGGTGGCTCAGCTGTTAAGTATCTGACTCTATTTTAGCTCAGGTCACGATCTCATAGTTTGTGAGTTTGAGTCCTGAGTTGGGGCTCTGTGCTGACAGTGAGGATTCTCTCCACACTGTGGGGAGAGAGTGGGATTTTCTCTCCCTCTCTCTCTGCCCTTCCGCTGCTCTCTCTCTCTCTCTCTCTCTCAAAAAAAATAAATAAATAAATTAATTAATTAATAAATAAATAAAAACTTAAAAAAAAGAGTAAGTAGTGTATAGAAAGGAAAGGGAAGCAAGGAAGGACATTCCAGATGAAAAAAAGAAAAAGGAATAAATAAGGACTCATATACAGAAATGAGTCCAAAGAAGTGAGATCTGCCTAGCTGGAATAAATATAAGTATTAAGAAGTGGTAAGAGGTAATAATTGTCTTTTTAATTTTAATATTTTAAGATTATTTATTTGAGAGAGAGAAGCACGTACCAAGGAGGGCAGGGACAGAGAGAGAGAGAGGGAGACAGAGGATCCCAAGTGGGCTCTGTGCTGACAGCAGAGTGCCAGATGCGGGGCTTGAACTCATGAACCGTGAGATCAAAGCCTGAGCCAAAGTCAGATGCTTAACTGACTGAACCATCCAGACTCCCTAATTTTTTTAATTTTTAAGTAATCTCTACATCCAATGTGGGGCTTGAATTTACAACCATGAGATCAAGAGTTGCATGCTCTACTGACTGAGGCAGCCAGGAGCCCGGAGGTAATAACTCTCTTGTAGGGTGGAAATGAATTGAAAGTGGGACTCCAGTGCCCCTTGCAGGGAAGCATGTCCATGACATTAAGGAAGCTATAATTTAACAACTTAAAGTAACATAGTTGAAAGTAGCCATAAAAATCAATGGCATTAGTGCAGATGAAATCTAATAAATTCCACTGAAGGAAAATAAAAAGGAAGATCAACTTGTAACCTGGAAAGATGGAGTTAAGAACAAGAATGACGTGTTTATGGGGCGCCTGGGTGGCTCAGTCGGTTAAGCGTCCGACTTTCGCTTAGGTCATGATCTTGCGGTCCGTGGGTTCGAGCCCCGCGTCGGGCTCTGTGCTGACTGCCAGCTCAGAGCCTGGAGCCTGTTTCAGAGTCTGTGACTCCCTCTCTCTCTGACCCTCCCCTGCTCATGCTGTCTCTCTCTCTCTCTCCTAGAAATAAAAAAAACATTAAAAAAAAATCATTAAAAAAAAAAAAAAGAATGACGTGTTTATTTCAGCACTGTCTAGAGAAAATGACAGAATTTGGAAGTCAGTAGTGTTCTGGTTGCAGAGAGGTGGGGCAAGAATAGGATTTCCCAATGCCTGGGTGTAATGTTCTCCTTAGATTCTTTGCTCTGATTCCACTCTCCCTTATGAATTCAGATTCCCAGGAACCACAACACTAGAAAGGGATGACCCAGATTTGAGACATAAGTATTCCAGGCACTGTAATAAAATTTCCGTACCGTAATACCAAAGTTTCATTCTAGTGTATCCATTAGTCTTTTACGAGTTTAATCATTGTCACTTAACATCTAAAACCTCATTAACTTTGGGTCTGTGGAGGAAAACATAAATCTACCTTCCAGATATGCAAGGCTGAAGATAAAGATCTGAACTGTGATGAATCTAAAGAACCATCACACTGTAACTCCCCTACTGAACAGCTAGCCAGCCTCTCTAATCACAACCAGTATATCTAGAAAACATAAAAAGAATTTCAAAGAATTTTTGGACCAGAGGATGTTTTGGGGTTACCATTTAATTCCATAGCCAAAAGGTTATTAGGGCATTCTGTGCCCTCAATCTCAACCAGAACGGGTTCTGTTAACATTCTTATATAAAGGGTTCTGTTAACATTCTTATATAAACAAAGATTGAATGTCTACATGATGCAACTCCTGGGTTCAAGGAGTTCACAGTTCAATAAGTCACTCCTAGGCTAACAGTTCTTATCTGCTGCTATTACCTCAGCACTTAGAACAGTAGGCTCTCAATAAATACTAATTGAATGAATGAGTAGCTCTCCATAAGAGCCTATTTGAGATGAAGACTGTTATTTGAATATCTTTAGCTCAGATGACTGATCATTGTATCTTTGCTGATATTGTCCAGAAACCTATTATTCTCTGTTTTATGTAGAACTTGAACATGTCTTTCCAGACTTACTTCTCATCCACCTCGATTGCCAGGCTGTATTCACAGCCATACGGCACCTGGGTAAACTATTGATGGACTTATATTATAGAACTGCATTTGTTTTAGGTAACTCTGCATTGGTGTTTCATATGAAGCATGGCTTGTAGATGACAATGGGAAAATTACTAAAGAAGCTAGATGTAGAATCTGTGCAAGTCCCAATTAATTGCCACTTGAAAGTTTCAATAAAATCTTCAATAAACTTTATTATGGAGCTTGATAAAGTGTTACTGATATACTGTGCCCAACACAGATGTCTTCTGATTTCACATTATATTTCTACTTTTGTGAACCTTCTGACCCTCTACTGTGCTGTCAGGGAAATGGGAATGTCTGTTTACTGAATGTGTCGATTTGAAATGAGCTTTTACCTCTCAACAAACCAGACTGTTCCAAAATTACTCATCTAAAATTTTATAAATTCAGATCAATACTTCAACCTAGAAGATGTGGCTAACAAATATTGAAGGTCCTATTACAATCTAAGCTGAATATAATCCCTCCATTCCCACCTCTCTTCAGTATATCCTGCATAATTATCCAGTAGCTAAGGCAATGGATGTTATAGTTGGATACATCAACTTGACACACATCAACCTTAGTCATTTCCAAAAACTAAATACTAACAGATCCAGGGAACATATTTCATCAGTCAGAAAGGCAATGTTAACATTATATCCAAAGGGCATCATATAAAGCTATGAAAGTAAAGAGGGAAGATGAAGTATGCTCATTAGTTACAGGTTTTATGTCCCAGAAAGGAGTACAGCAATGGGAGAAGAAAGGAGATCCTTTGAATCAGGATGGTCTGCCACTTACCTTAAACTAGATGCCGGGTACTAACAAGCACATCTTAGAGCAGACAGTAAGCTCTTTCATTTCCAGAATCCCCCTGAAGAAACAGACCAGACTACTGTTCTCCATTTCTTAGGGGATTTGAAGAAACTCAAAGACTCACTGTGTCTTTGAGGGCAGTCAATGGACAGCTACTCCTCTGTATATCCCTGAAAACCTCCCTAACAGTGAATCCCTCTTTTCTATATACCAGAATATTCAAGCCTAGACAGTTATCTTTCTATATATAAGAATATGATTTTTAAGGTCTCACACAAACATGATCTCCTGAAGCACCCAAGAAAGGCCTTCCCTGACATGAAATAAGGCAATTATATGGTGTGATTGCCAACAATGAATTCCAGGACAGCCCATACAGATGTCACGATAGAATATCTTAGGATTTCGCCCTCAAAAGGGCTTTCTGGCTTCGTTTTCTTTTTAGTTTCTTAAGGCCGGTGACAGAGGAAAGCAAGCAGCTCCCCAGGTGAGCAGACTAAACACAAAAGACTGTGATTCTGAGACCAAAATGGGGTCCCTAACCAGAGGACCGCTTCCTTAGGTGGACGTTTTGCTTTCTGGAGGAAATCTCATTTGTTTCAACCCAGAAAGTGAGGAAAAAAGCAGAAAGAGAAGTGGCTGGAAGACTCGCGAGTCTAGAATAAAAAGCTCAAGCTATTCCATCCTCAGGGCAGCGGACCAAAAGGCGATTCCACCCTGAGCCCCAAGGAGGAGACCAGGGTCGCGAGGCTGGGGAGCCCCGGACCGAGCGCGCAGCACGACTGAGAGCAGCGCGCACTCCCCCGTCCCGCTCCCTGCACATCCCGCCGGGACCCCGGACCGTCCCGACGGGGCGGCGGGGCGAGCCCGGGCAAGGCGCTTACCTACTTCCAGACACCGAGCGCAGGGGCCGCTCCTCTCCCGAAGGCTCGGACAGCTCCTTACTATGGGCCGCGCTGCCGCAGCTTCTGCACTCTCGCCCTGCTCCGCCCGACCTCCCCTCACCGCACGCCCCTCCCTCAGGCTGCCAAGCACTGCACCCAGAGTCCCGGGCCCGAGCCCGTATTTAAAGGCTCCTGCCCGAGAAGGCGGAGGCTTCATTCCCCCACAGCCAGGCCCTCGCGGACTCTGCCCTTAGCCGCATCCCTGCTCCTCCTCCCGCCACACTAGGCCCCGGGGCCCGCCCCTATTTCCTGCGAGCCCCAGGGGTGGGGAGATGGGGCGGGGCTAGCCGTAGCTAGGCTCCGCCCATAGGCGAACCTGGGCGAATCCGCTCGGGCCAGCTCAGCTGTCCCGCCCCTACCGCGAGCGGCACTGGGCGGAGCAGCGTGCGCAGCGAGGGCCCCGAGGCCCGTGGGCTGGGCCTCCAGGTACCGCTAGGCCGGGAGCTAGTGCCCCTGGCCCTGTTTCGCTCCCTGTGTCCCGGTCCCCGCTGACGGTCGGCGCTGAGGTGGTGCTGCCTGCCCGCCAGGTCGGGCATAATCTAGGGTTGCGGGGGTACTGGGCCGGCTGCGGCCCGAGGGGACCGGAAGGTCTCGGCCCCCTTTCCGGTCTCCGCAGCAGCCCGAAGGGGTGGCCCAGTCTTTCCGCCCCCTGAGACCTTGTGGGTGCGACTGGGCCGGCGGCTTATTCCTCTCTCACGCCCTCCGGGCCGGAGGCCCACGGTTTAGTCAGGTCTCTTGGGTTAGCCCCTTCTGGGAAGTCGGCGCCTCGCCTCCTCAGTGGGATGCTGAGTCCTGTCAAGACGGGACCAGTTAGTGCCTCCGCCCTGGGCCCTGGGAGGAAAAGCATAACACCCACGCCCTCCCAGCCATATTTTCCAGAGACACTCCTGCCAAAACCGGGTTCTGGGATGTCTGTGCATGATACGTAGCAGAGAGTTTGCAACATACAAGTTCTGTGAGGAAGAGTCAAATGTGTGGAGACTGCCCGTTTTTAATGAGGGCGGTTCTGTTTTTTTTCTCCCTTCCAGAGTCCTCTTAAACCAAATCTAGGAAGAAAAAAGCATTCGTGACTTTTGTGTTCCTCACTAAGAATTACATCAGGTGACGTAGTATCTGTACTCGAAGTCAAAGATGATTATTGAAAACAACATAATAAGGAATGTGATTAGAAATGTATGAAGGCACATTAAAATACCTGATAAATAATGAGGGTTTTTTTTTTTAAGCTTTATTCCTTTTTTTTAATGTTTATTTTTGACAGAGAGAGAGAACGAGCTGGAGAAGGGCAGAAAGGGAGGGAGACACGGAATCCGAAGCAGGCTCCAGGTTCCAAGCTGTCAGCACAGAGCCGGATAGAGGGCTGGAACTCGAGAACCGGAAGATCATGACCTGAGCTGAAGTCCCACGCTTAAGGACTGAGCCACACAGGCACCCTTTTAAGTTTTACTTCTAATCTCTGCATTCAGCATGGGGCTCCAACTCCCAACCGGAGAGCAAGAGTCACATGCTCCTCCAACGGAGCCAGCTAGGCACCCTGGGATGACGGTTTTCTTGACAGGATCATGACAACCTTAAGAAAGCTTGTGAAGGGGCGCTTGGGTGGCCCAGTCGGTTAAGCATGCAACTTCAGTTCACGTCATGATCTCACGGTTCGTGGGCTCGAGCTCCAGATTGGGCTCTGTGTTTATAGTTCAGAGCCTGGAGCCTGCTTCAGATTCTGTGTCTCCCTCTCTCTCTGCCCCTGCTCTGCTTGCACTGTCTTTCTAAATGAATAAACATTAAAAAAATTTAAAAAAAAAGCTTGTGAATACTGCTTAAACAGTTTGCTATAGGTTGTAGAGAGTATGATAAGATATGTAGGTGTTGTATATTCTATGCAATATTCTATATTGTATGGATTTATTCATCCAATATTTAGTGCCTATTGTGTGTTAGATGTTATCCTAGAGACCAAAGTTGCAAAATGAATTAAGATCCAATTCTTCTTCCAAAGCTCACAGGCTAGTAGAAGAGATAAGTGAATAAGTAATTGAAATTCATGTGACAAATACTGTGTTACATAGAGTTATCTTTTTGCACTTGGCATATACATAGATTTAAATTTCCTTTTAGAGGAGTATCGGAGTGGCTCATTTGGTATCCTACTCTTGATTTCTGCTCAGGTCATGATCTCAATGGTTGGTGAAATCCAGCCCCACCGAGGCTCCGAGCTGAGTGTGGACCCTGCTTGGGATTCTGTCTCTGTCTCTCTCTCTCTCTCTCTCTCTCGCTGCCCCTCCTCCACTTGCATGCTCCCTCTCTCCCTCTTAAAATAAATATTTAAAAAATAAAAATAAATTTCCTCTTACAGTTTTGTGATAAAAACTACTTTTCTATTATTCTTTCGTTTTGAATTGAACATTTTCTACCTAATACTTTACATTCTTTGTTAGTGTTTTGATAATAATCATAATCTTTGAAACCATACAATCTCAGAAATTAAATCAGAATATCAATACTAGCTGGGGTGCCTGGGTGGCTCAGTCAGTTAAGCATCCGACTTTAGCTCAGGTCATGATCTCACAGTTGGTGAGTTTGGGCCCCACGTTGGGCTCTGTGCTGACAGCTCAGAGCCTATAGCCTGCTTCATATTCTCTGTCCCCCTCTCTCTCTCTGCCCCTCCCCTGCTCGTGCTCTGTCTCTCTCTCTCAAAAATAAATAAAGATTAAAGAAATGGGAAAAAATATCAATACTAGCTAGAATGGACCTTTGGATCGAGGATAGCAGTTCTCAAAATGTAGTGACAATCTCTGAGACCCTTTCAGAGGATCCAGGAAGTCAAAATATGTTCATAATAATACTGATATGTATATGTCACTTTTTTCATGTAGGATTTCAGTTTATACCTAGGTTCCTCTTAAAACTTAAGACCACTGATTAATTCATTAAATAAGTATTCCTCTTCAAGTGTTTATTATGTGCTAATCACTAGGATTACATTTGTGAGTAAAGAATGATACATTCCCTTCCCGCATTAATTTTACTGTCTATGGGGAAACATCAGTCAATCACACAGATAAATGTAAAATTACAACTTTATTAAGGCAGGTCATATACAGTCTTATGAGAGTATAGGTTCCTCAAGTTGTGATAATTGAGCTCCTAAAGGAAATATGGGAATCAACGAAGGGAAATGAAGAGGGTAGTAGTTACAGGAATAAAAGAATGAATGTGAGGAGAGCAATTCAGAGCTAATGACAGTAATTAAGAATTAGAAAAAAATATTAGAAATAGCAGTGGGGCACCTGGATGGCTCAGTCAGTTGAGCGTCCGACTTCCCTAGTTCGGGTCATGATCTAGCAGTTCATGAGTTAGAGTCCCGCATCAGCCTCTGTGCTGACAGCTCAGAGGCTGGAACCTGCTTTGTCTCCCTCCCTCTCTGCCCCCCCCCACACACACTCATGCTCTGTCTCTCTCAAAAATAAATAAATAAACATCTTTTTAAAAATTAAAAAATATATATATTTAGAAATAGGATGTCCAGGGTAGTAGCCACGGAGATTCAGAGAAATAAAGCTATTCATGAGATGATCAGGGAGTAAAAGCAATGAGACTTTGGTAATATTCTCCACCTCACTCCCACCCTCCACACCAAAGGTGACACTGTTCCAGTCTCTGACAATATATTTTAGTTTTGCCTTACATTTAAGGGAATCAATTTCTGGCTCCTCAGCTTCCAGAGGTATCCTTTCCCAAAACGAATATGCCTAAGAATAGTCCAATTTACAAAAGAAGGGCTTACCTTTTACCCAGGTGAAACTTTACCCTCCATTACCCAGGGGTAAAATTCTCCTGAGTGCCAAAGGAATAAACTAGATTCTTGTTTGGGGGCAGTCCCCAGTGGTGATTCATCAAGATACCTCAAATCTCTCTTTCTTCATTTTATACCTATTTTTGCTAAGACTGAAGTCCAGAGTTAGAAACAGGACATGTTGGGGGCGCCTGGGTGGCTCAGTCAGTTAAGCATCTGACTTCGCCTCAGGTCATGATCTCACAGTTTGCAGGTTTGAGCCCCGCATCAGGCTCCATGCTGACGACTCAGGCTCCATGCTAACAGCTTGGAGCCTGCTTCAGATTCTGTATCTCGCTCTCTCTGTGCCCCTCCCCAGTGCTCTTTCTCTCTCAAAAATAAACATTTTTTAAAAATTAAAAAAAAAAAAAAATTGAAACAGGACATGTTGGCCTATGTTGGGATAATTGAATTCCAAACAGAAGATACCATATAAATTAGTGACCTTGATTCTTTTAGAAGCTACTTGACTATTTTGCAGTACTAAAATTTTTAAGAGGTACTGAATAAAATGAAGAAAATTTACAAATATTTATTCAGTGAAATATATATTTGCAAAATAAATATAAGTTATATCAATCTTAAGTTTTCCACTTAATAGTCTTCATTTTGTATGATGTTTAATACTGTTTAACAAAATAGAACTCACTTATACCTAGGAACATATTAAGTATCAGCTTAAAATGTATGAGCAATTGAATGAAGTCAGAGCCATTCTCCAAAATTTCCAAGCTGTTTAACCACACAGATGCTGGCCCTCTGGACAGCAGTTGGGATTGTAGTTGTTTTAATGTTTGGAGCTATCCAGTTTTATGTACAGTCTTGCAAAACCTCTTGTAGTTTCTTCATTGTGATCTTGCTGTCACTAGAGTCTTTACCCAAAAATTGAGTAAAACAAATGGAGGCAATTTTGAATGTGGAGTAGAGATTCTACTCGGTTTGCTCACTGATGGAGCCAAGTAAGTTTAGGGAAAAGGTACAAGTCTGAGCTTAGATTCCCTTCTGCTTCCTTGTATATTTTGGCCAAACAGAGAAAAGACGTAAATGACACCAACAATATGGTTAGTTGAGCAAGTGGATTGAAGTGAGAGGGACACATATGAACATGTTAAGGGACAGCATTAAGATTGCTTTGCATCACACTTTTTGTTTGCATTGTACTTCTAAAAGAAAAAAATGTGCAAGACAGTACATAGCTTTTCAAAATTCTTTTAGGAATATACAAGCAATAAAGTTTGAAATTACCAGGTCTAGGGGAGCCTGGTTAGCTCATGTCTGTTGAGTGTCCACCTCTTGATTTTTGGCTAAAGTCATGATCCCAGGGTCGTGGGCTCAAGCCCTGGGTCAGGGTTCCATGCTGTGAGCGTGGAGCCTGCTTAAGATT